TTTTCAAATCGGTACCCAAAATTTCTCGAAAACCAATGAACCGATTGCCTTGAATTTTTTTGTGGTTATTCTATACATCATTATCTAGTACTTGTCATGGGATTTTTTTTTTCGTTGCTTAGTTTTTGTTTTATAGGCAAAATAATAACTAATTTTTGGTCGAAAAATCGCTATGTTATGTTCAAACGTCCGCCATTTTGTCATAAATCGATATTTTCAAAATCGGCCATGACAAGTACTAGATTATAGTATCTAATTTAATAATCTTTTTGGTTTTTTTGTTTCAGATGATTTTTTAAGAAACGCCAGTGGGTACCGTTTACACGGATTTTTTTACGGCGCTCCAAAGATTATACCACAACCTCGTCAATTTTTGATTTTTTTTAATAAAAAAAATTGGACATATTCCTGAATGTGTATACTTTTAAATAGAAAAATCCCCAATCCGAAATTTCAAATAGTTTTCCGTAAAAAAATGCACAAAGATGACCTTTTTTTCCGGCTCCTAGGTGTATATCTCCCCTTAAACTGAATCTTACGATAATGACAATATGAAGTATCACTATTATTCTTGTTATTAAACGGCATAGATACGCGAACAGAACATTCAATTTCACGATTATTGACCGTTTCATAATTTTCTTTTTCTATTAAGCGATTCGCGAATTGTGCTAGAGGTAAAGCCGGTTTTCTCAAATATTTTCTAAACATTGACATATTACTCTCGTACGGAAAAGCAGAAAATGAATCTAAGGTACCAACACGTTTAACATCGCTAACAAGGTGTAGAAGACCATGAACATTGTATGAATTAAATGTCGGGTTATATAAATGTTCACTTCGAATAACGAATTTTTGTAATGCAAGTTCCGCAAAATTTAATAGTTTTTCTGATGGTGAATTGGATACTAAAATTCTTATTGCTGTATGCAAAAACAAAAAATGCTTATACAAGCGTTCATCAAGTATATCGCGCATTACAACCGGCCCTGTATATAGCAAAAATTGACGGTATTCTGTCGCTTTAAATTTAGAACATGCATCTAGAGGTCTTGGACGTCTTGCAAATTCGGAAGGACAATAATCGCGAAGATTATTCAACCTTGCAGAAACTATGGAGATACTACTACTTGTTAATTTCGAAAATCGAGTGTAATTTCCATGTACCTCATGTAATTTCCAAGCACATAACAGTTTCTTCGTTACGCCCAAACAAACGAGGTGCATATATTCAAAGGGTACACGCGATACCATACCTAGTGACAACTTTGCTAATGGGCTTGTACCTTTATGATGACCCTCGTCAACACACCGAGCATAATCTTCATCCGTACAAAGAGGATCATTTACCAGGTGTAGAAGTATGAAACCGGAATTTTTTTTATACAAATAAGACGTCTGTTGTTCGAAAGTGATAAATAATACTTTATTCAAAATAATTTCCACTGTTTTGAACACATTTTTCCCACCTCTCTGGCAGTTTATGAATGCCGTGCCAAAAAAACTTTTCATCTTTTGAAGCGAACCAGTTATCTAGCCATTTTTCCACATTTTCATACGAATCGAAGCGTTGGTTAGCGAGAGCGTGTCCTAGCGATGCGAACAGGTGATAATCGGACGGAGCCAAGTCTGGAGAATAAGCCGCATGCGGTAGTAATTCCCAACTGAACGACTCGATCGTTTCCTTGACCCGTTTTGCTGTATGTGATGGGGCATTATCATGGAGCAAAATGACATTGTGTTGCCTTTTTGCATATTCTGGTCGTTTTTTAGTCAATGTTCGATTTAAATCGATCATTTGTTGTTGGTAGCGATTAGTATTGACGGTTTGACCAGGTTTCAGCAGTTCATAGTTCATAGTTCATAGTTCATAGTTCTTCGTTCCTCACGTCAAAATCACCACTTTTGAATTTTTTAAACCACTCGAAACACTGAGATTTACCAAGAGCATATTCACCGTAAGCTTCGACAAGCATTCGATGTGATTCTGCAGCAGTTTTCTTTAAATGATAACAGAAAATCAATGCTGTCCGCAAATCATAGTTAGTAGGCTCGAAACGTGACATGTTTAAGGTTATACAAAAATATACTAGAGAATGAAAGTTGGGGTTATGTTTGTTGACAATATTCGTCAGCTGTTAGGAGAATATAATAGCGCGGCAGTAGCGGTCTTACGGTCACTAAACTGAACGCTGGCACCATTTATAGGGGAATTCCGGTTTCATACTTCTACACCTGGTACAGTATGGAAAACGTAACGCCCTTCACAACGAATGCCATTAATCTTACATTTAGAACATGGTTGACTGTACATATGACTGCGATGATTTAAAATAAACGCTCGCGCTGGTGCATCTGCTATAAAGCACCTTAACCGTACTGGGATCTTTCTCTCATTAAAATCTATACCTCCAACGAATATTATAGCTATGATATCTGCAACTAATTTTTCAAAAAAAATGTTTGGATCCTTAGGCTTGTGTGCACCCTGATAAATACCTACAACTATTGGTTTTGTGCCTTATACGTTAATAATTCTGCATTGGATAGGCCAAATATGAACACTGCCACTTTTGTCTAAGTTACAACCATCAGTATTTATATCTAGTTCCAATTCATTAATTGTACCTGCAGATGAAATATTGGAAATACTTTGAATCAAAGATGTTGCAAGATCAAAATGTACATATTCCCCCGGCGGTACATTGAACACAACAACACGTCTACGTGGTGTATCTATTAACGTTCTAACATCTTTTGGAAGATTAGAAAAACACGCATGTTTACGAAGGAGAGTTAAAATATCATTACCCTGAACATGTGTTAAATTATTGTCCACAAAGCAAGATGCTAACTGTTGTTGAAAAGATAATTCATTACAAGAGCCTTCAAACAATAATGGATCCTCATTGTTATTACAATTATTGGAAGAAGAAGAAGAAGAGCACGAAGACAAAGATTCATCATCATTATCATATACAATGTTATTATCTGAATGTACTGATGGATGTGCAACAGACGCAACTGGCATATCTTGCACACAAGGAGCATTTTCTCTAATACTTATATTTGAAATCGAATTAAATTGACGCAAGTTTCTCCTTATTTCTAACAAAACTTTTCTCCGTTGCCATATTGATAAATTCATAAAAGGTTTTCGTGAAGTAGATAATTTAATATTGATACGTTTCATATTTACGTGTTCTGTCGAAGGTTTGCTGCAGCTATGTGGTACAATAATATGGGAAAAGCGTCTGGACACACTTGTTGCACTATCACCTACTCAGCTACTCGTACGGTAGTTGAACTTGGAATGCTGCATGCTTAAACGTGTAAAGAATAACGGGAGAGCTTCGACCAATCACAACGTTATGGTAATACATTGCACCAATCGTAGCCAATATTTTTGGCGGTACATTGCTCGTCATGTGTTTCTGGACGCACATGTCTTCTCGCAAAGTCTATGGCCGGTATTCATAATCGGATCTTATATTTAAGTCTTAAATGTATCTTCAGATGATGTACGGATCATTTCATTGGCTACGGAGCATCTGAAGATGAACTTAAGACAATCTTAAATATAAGACCCGACTATAAATACCGGCCTACATTCGGTATTTTAAGCCTTACAAAGTAGCCAATCACAATCGATTACTTTTATCTAATTTTACTGTTATTGTTTACTTTTTAACTTAGGACTTGAAATACCGAATGTACATGGGATGGAAAGTGGAACGCTGTTATTGGTTGTGCTAGTTTCGCACGTTCCTTTCCGTTCAAAATTTAATTTCCGCGGGACGACACTGAAAGGCCTCGTCAACAATAGGAGTCATAAAGTCATACATCTTAGAACTTGGCCAATCACAGTCGATTTTTACAAGAATAATCGATTGTAATTGACCAATTCTTATGACTCCTATTATAGACAAAGACCTTTGCACGTAGAAAAGTTGTAACCGTAGTCATTACATCGTCAAAAAAGTGAGCAATGACAGTTGATTATTCTCTATGCGTTTAAGGAATAATCGATAGTGATTGGTTAATATACTCACGATCTTACGGTTATTATAAGTTTGTTTTTCGTTCTTGTACTGCTGAACTGGTGCGATAAGTTAGAGCGAGAAAAAATATACTTGTCTCACTTTAACTTATTGCACCAGTTCAGCAGTGCAGGAACAGAAAACCCCATATTTGTACGTGCAAACGCTTTAAAAGCAGAATTACACTACTGGTTCCGGACTCTGTTGCGGTTAAGATTATTGGAAATGTACCAATTAGAGTGAGCAGTTCGGCAAACTACTCGTCGATTGGTAAATTTCCAACAATCTTAACCATAACCGAGCCCGCCGGTAGTGTAATTTCGTCTTAACTCAGTAGGTCTATTCCACTCTATTCACTCGTTATTTGCAGTTAACGACACATTCGTTATCGTTGCGCAATTTCTTCCTTTCATAGAATAGCTGCGCAACGATAACGAAACTGTCGTTAATTGCAAAGAACGAATTACAGAATAAGCCTACTGATCCAATCGTATACACTTTAACGAAAGAACGTGGTCAGAAGACCACGTGCGTCGAGAAACACGTGACGAACAATATACCGGCAAAACCATTGGCTACGATTGGTGCAATGTATCATCATAGCGTTGTGATTGGTCGAAGCTCTCCCGTTATTGTTAACACGTTGAAGCATGCAGCCACATGAAGCATTCCGAGTTTAACCGCCGTACGAGTAGCTAACGAAGGAATATCCAGTGCAAGGTGATAGAGACAAAGGACGAGCCTGAAGAAAAAAAGATATCGAACATCGTGCTAAGGAGAATTCAACGACGTGACGACAGAATAACGAGGTGATAGTACAAGTGTGTCCAGACGCTTTTCTCATATTATTGTATTACGTACTGCAGCGAACTTCGACAGAACACATAAATATGGAATGTATCAATATTAAATTATCTAGTTAACGAAAACCTTTTGTGAATTTATGAATATGGCAACGGAGAAAAGTTTTGTTAGAAATTAGGAGAAACTTGAGTCTATTTAATTGAAGTTCAAATAGAAATATTACATAAAATGCTCTTTGTGTACAAGATATGCCACTTTCGTATGTTGCACATCAATCAATACATTCAGATAGTAACATAGTATATGATTATACATATTTTATTTTGTGCTCTTCTTATAGGTATAATGACAATGGAGATTAATTATTATTCAAAGACTGTTATAATGAATTATCTTAACGATAGCAGTTAATAATTTACTTTGTGCCCAATAATGTAGGATACATCCACACAAATTAGATTTCAATTCTCCTTCGTAGACAAGTGTTCTCCTTCGTAGACAGGTTTTGTAATCTTTCCAAAGATATTAGAGCTATAATAGACGTGTACCCAAATGCACAAAAATATATTTCATTGTAATATCTTTTGAAAGATTAGGAAACCACTTGTGTCAAAGAAGGAGAGCTGAAATATAATTTTCTTTGGATGTATCTTCAATTATTGCCCACAAAGTAAGTAGTTAACTGCTCTTGAAAAGATAATTGATTATAAAAGTCTTCGAACAATAATTTATCTGTGTTGTTATTACAGCTATAGGACGGTATGTAAAAGACAACTTTAAGCATATCAAATATTTCTTGTACATATCTGGGATATATGCTTAAGACATTTGAAACATATGAAGAAAGGTTATAGAAGTCTACAATATATATATATATATATATATATATATATATATATATATATATATATATATATA